GAACAAACACACGGACCTGGAAAAATACTGAAGGTACGATCTTGGTGCTCTTGATCGAATTCCTTGATATGCATTAGGAAATATAAACAAACCCCAGACACTTGCATGCCAAAGTTGTATACTTTGCCTTATCTGCAGTCCCCATACAGAGACGTTAAGGGTAGCATGCAGCAATATTGCCGCTAAATCGGGGCTGTTATTAACAGTAAGTGGAATTTCTTCATTTCAGAACTCACTTTGCCAGTAGTGCTCTGAAGTTTTGGGATGTGAGTAGATTTTTTTTTTTATTTTTTTGATTGTTTGTTTTTGTTTTGGAGCTCAGCTTTGGCAGAGAAGAACCCTCTCTCACTTTAGGTCTGCTTTACAGGTGGCACCACAAGTCACCAGAGCGTTGTAAGTAACGCGACCATTGAGACGGCAGTACTTTTCCAGAATGCCCCGTTATTAAATGACCCTAAGAAAAGTCCAAAGAAAACGGAAGTCATTTTCCCCGGCCGGTATTTTACGAGCAATCTTTATCAGGTGCTGACCTGCCCTGTTCGGGGAAGTGTTGAGTCCTTATTTGCCTGCAACACCCTGAAACGGAGGCCAAAACAGGGACCCATGGGCGAGTTCAAAACACGGGGCGCAGCCACAGCACGCTGGGCTGGAGCAGGGAAAGCCAAACCCGGGGGTCTTGGGGGGCGCAGCCACCGCCTCCCCCTTGCCGGGCTCCCTTCGCTTCCGTCCGGCTCGGTGGGAAGGGAAGGGGACGGGAAGGGAAGGGGACCCGTGTCCCTCCGGGGGCTCGGGGCAGCGCCGGGTCCCGCCCGCAGCGGGAGGAAGGGGCCGGGCGGCGCATCCACCTGCGGCCACCTGTCCCTGTCCCTGCCCCGCTCGGTGACTCCTCCCCGGCCGCCCGCCCGCTCCCGGCTCCCTCCGCCGCCTCCCAGCCGCTCCCGCAGCCCCAGGTAAGCGCTGCTCTCCCCGCCCGCCGCCCCTTCGCCTCGGGAAGCACCGTGCAGGGGGGGAATCGCCGTCCCGGCTGCGTTTGGATTTAACTGAGCAACTTGGGCTGTGCTCGGGGGGGATGAGGAGGGACCGCGGCGGCGCCTGGGAACCCCCGGCCGAGGGTGGGAGGCGCCGGGTGATGGAAACCGAGAGGGGACGCGGCTTCCCCCGTGTTCCCCTGCCTTCCTCCGTGCTCCCCTGCCTTCCCCTGTGCCTTCCCCTGTGCCCCCGGTCCGCAGCCGCTTTCTCCAGCGGGAGATGCAGCCCGGGAAAGTCGCGCTTCCCCGCGGGCCGGGGTGTAAGGGAAGCCGGGAGCCAGAGGAACCCGGAGGAAGGAGCTGGATGGGATAGCCGGGAGCCAGAGGCTCACGGAGGAAGGAGCTGGATGGGATAGCCGGGAGCCAGAGGCTCACGGAGGAAGGAGCTGGATGGGATAGCCGGGAGCCAGAGGCTCACGGAGGAAGGAGCTGGATGGGATAGCCGGGAGCCAGAGGAACCCGGAGGAAGGAGCTGGATGGGGAAGCCGGGAGCCAGAGGAACCCGGAGGAAGGAGCTGGATGGGATAGCCGGGAGCCAGAGGAACCCGGAGGAAGGAGGTGGATGGGATAGCCGGGAGCCAGAGGAACCCGGAGGAAGGAGGTGGATGGGGAAGCCGGGACCCAGAGGAACCCGGAGGAGGAGGAGGATGATGGGCACTGTGGATTCTCGCGGTCCGAGAAGGTGCGGAGGGCTCAGCCAGAGCCGGCCCGTCCCGCACCGCTCCAGGTAGAGCTTGTCCATCTCCTGCCCTGGTGATGAAGGTTAAGATTGGGCAACTTCCTCAAGGTCACCGAGAGGGCAGAGAGAGTAAATCAGAACGAAGTTTAGTTCTGGGGACTCTTCGGTGTGTATTAATGCATTGAGCTTTAGCAAAATCCCTAATTTCGGGTGAAAGTTGGCACAGCTCGTCAAGCGATTTTGGAAAAGTAACTCTCAGAGGAGCCCTACTGTTGAAAGTTAAGTGCCAAAGCTCTGAAGTGACTCCAGCCCACACCTCCTCGCTGGTGGCTTTATGTTCATTGCTTACCTGGACCTCCAATCTCACCCTCAGCTTCCTGGGTGGGTGTCTGTGAACTTAAGGGAGCACTGTCAACACTGAGCCTTTGTCCTGAGCTAAGTGACACTGCTGTTTCCAGTGCTTTAGAAAGAGCTAAAGGAAGCAGCTTGGATTATTTGCATCATCTAGGGCAGTATTAGGTGGGGAAAGAGGTGGACGTTGTGTGTGGCACAGATCAATGTACTGGGAAAATGGCAAGTTGTGGCTTTTACCTACAGATGTAGACGTAAAGCCAAAAGACAGGTGGGCTAAGATAAATGTTGATGTCAAAGCAAGACTTCATGTGCATTTTTGTCTTCCTTTCCTTCTTAAAACTGTTAAAATTTATTGTGGTTTATAGGACAGTCAACCTAGAGCAAATCTATCAGGGTAGCCCAGCCTGAAATTGGAAATAAGTCAGAACTACGTTCCTGGATGTTGATGGAAAAACAAAGTAACACATTATTCTGGGATGCTGGTCAAAATATTTGTCTTGGAGTTGCCAGTCCTGTAGATATGGGCTTTTCCTCCTGTGCCAGTCCAGGGCTGGTCCAGCCTGAGTAGCTGCAGTGCCATGGTGGTGGCTCAGTGGTGCCTGTGCTCTGCAGCAGTGCTTCCCCCACGGCTTTGATGTGTGCACCCTGAAACCTTCCCTGGCAACAGGAGCCTCCCCGTGGAGTGAATTCAAACCTCCTGCCAGCAGGATTTGCTTTTCACTCTTATCTGCCATAGACCCCTTAGAAGTGGTTTGCAGCTCCTCAGGACGTGTTGGTCACGGGTTAAAAATCGCTGACCTGGACAGGTATCTAAATAAGTCTGGTTTGTTAACATTGCTGGGCTTTATTTTCCTGCAGTGTGGGTACCTAGTGCTACCTTATTCGTATCATATTAATATGCAGCTCAAATATGGTGAACAAGTGTTCTTAAGTGGTTTATTTCCTTGCCAGCGACTTTCAGTGACATAGACAGACACTTGAATTTAGCCAGAAGGTAACAATCAAATATGAAGATGACTGGCAAACATGCTTCTGCCAGAAAGTTATTTGCTTATGCCTTGGAAGAAGGGCAAGGGCAGAACCTGGGATGTAGTGTAGGGGAAGTAAGAATCCAAAGGCCAAGCTGGCTGTCGCTGCATCCTCCAGCTCCTCCTGTGATCTGGGAGTGGGTGCTGTGGTTTGCAGTTGTTGCCTGAACAATGGGTCCATCTCTTATCATGCCAGAGCCTCTGGTTCTTCTGGGCTCTTGGTCCTTTCTGCTTCAGAAATGGCTGAAAGGCTCTTGTGCCACTCACCATCCGCTCAGTGAAATGAGAAAAAAGGAAAAAAAGAGCATTTCAGCCTCCTTCCTCACCCCACTGCCCCTAACAAAGCACGTGATGTACTTGTGACAAGGCTGAGTCTGAAGTCAGTCTGTTTCCAGACAGATGATAATAACAACAATAATAATGATCATAAACAATTGTTTGTAGTATGAATATGGCATCCTATAACTTCTTAAAATGTTACACTCAGAGATTTTTTTAATGTCTCCTTTTTTTTTGCACGTGAAAGTAGAATTAATCTTGGTTTCCTGGCCTGGGGAATACTGCTGATAGTGCTTATCAAGAGGCACTGTTTTTTAACACCTCTTGATAAGTAGTTGTACAGTATAATGGCATTCTAGGAGCTAATCTAGAACAGCTTCAGAACTATTTCTTAGGAGCTGTGAGAAGGACTAGGTTTTATTTGTGGCTGCCTTTCATGTAAATATTTGCACAGTCTCAGGGAGTTCTCTGAAATACTTGTGGTGTATTACAAGTATTACTTACCTTACTGCACAGGCATGCTGAGTAGAGCTCACCTCTGTCGAGAAGGTTTGTTGAAAGGCCAGGACACTGTAGGACCCTGATTTTAATGACTTTGGGACATTCAGTCAATTTGTCTTTGATCCTTGCCAGAGGACAAATGGAGTAAATTAAAATCACTTTTTTTAACCATCACAATGAAAATATTCAGTGCCACCTCCTGAAGAAGTGTCAAGGAAATCTTGTTAATGAAATGGGATGAAAAAATCTTATTTAGCTCCTTTCCTTTTTCATTCATAACTGGATTATTTTTAACCTTTCTATACTTCATTTGCAAGTCATGATAATTTTTGTTACTGATTGTTAAACAGGAATCTTGACCATGTTTCTTTCCTCTTGTCCAGGTGACAAGGCAGGAACTGTCCTGTGAAATTGCTCTGTGAAAAGGTCATAAAAATGAATCTGGAACCTCTTTGCTTGTTTTTCCCCATTTTTTATTTTATTGCCTCACTAACCTTTCCTCCACACCATCATATCATGGTTATATTGTGCTCATGGTTATGTTGCTGAAACTTCCAGGTGGTCATAAAATGGTTGGAAATTTAAAAAAAAAAAATGAAATCATGTTTCCTTTCTGCTGTCATCAATGCCATAACAGGTTGGCTTGCCCTTCTTTATGGTTGAGCTTTGCACTGAAATTACTCCTTTGCTATCTCAATGAGTTGAGATTGTTGGTTTGCTCGATACAGGGAATGATTTGGATGTGATGCAGTGTGTTAGGGTCATGTAGAAAGTCTGGATGCTTTTATGCTTCCTCCTTTTAGAGAGTGAGCTTCACTTGGTTTTTTTTCATTCATTTGGTTTTTGACTGTTCTGTCCTCTTACATCTTTCTTGTTTACATGTGGTTGCTTTTACGTAGGTCTAACTGTGACTAGTTTGGTTTTTTTTTTTTGTTCTGGGGTTTCTTTTTCAATTGTTGATAGCTATCACAGAGCTTAGCAAACAGCTGATGTTGTTTCTGTTTCAGGAAACAGCACAAAACGTGTACTGGAGCAATATGTAAATGCAGGAAGCAAGCTGTTGCCAATGGAACTCTAGTTTCCTTGGCCAGTTGAATTCACAGTGTTAAACTGGGATATCTGGGAGCACTTATTCCATCCTATTGACTTGGGCATGGAAACAGCCTATGGGGATCTCTGTGTGAAAACTTGTGGAAGCCAATTAACAATTACAACTTGGTGAGTGCTGAGGAAGTCCTGTCATTTCTTGCATGGACAGCCAGGATAAAAGGCAGCAGGTCTGGTGTCATGACAAACTCCTGCTTAGGCCTTTAGAGTTTCTTTGCCTTTCATTCTGTCTGTTGCCTTTTTGGGATGTTGTCTCCTGGCCAGCAAAGGACACAGGAGGTGTGAGTGGGCCATGAGCTGTAATGAGGCAAAAGCAGAGTCTCGTTTTTGCCCAGAATTCACCAAAATTCAGCGAGGGATGTAGAAGCAGGTGGTGGTGAGGACCATGTACAGCACAACTCTGTGCTTGGTGTTTCCTGTCCAGGGCACAGAGGGACTGCTCCTGTGGTAGGGAGGAGGACAAGCCTTTGGAGGGCTGAGAGTCTGGAAAGTCCATTTTGGATTAAATAAGACGTCATCAAACGAAGTACAGAAGTACAACTTCTCCTGCAACTTTTACTTAAAGACTTGATTTGCAGAAATCTGTAGAAAAACTTATAAAATATCCAGAAAGCTGTTGGATTGAATTTGTTTTGAACTAATCTAATATTTTAATTTTTTTGTATTGTTGTTTGGCTGTGTTCCTTTTTTGTCTTAATTTTGGACAGATTTACTGGAAATAGTGATGCGTTTCTTTAATCTTAATGACCCATGATATAACATTAACATGTTAAGGCGTATGTAAGAAGCTCAGATACTTCAAGTAGCAGCTGTGAGGCAACACATTTTCCTTTATTTTTCAGTGAACTGTGTCTCAGTGGTGGCTTTTTACTCTTTGTCTCTCATGTCATTAGAAACAGTGGCTTTATTCCTGAGTTTTGAAAGAAAAACACTCAGTTTTGGAGCTTCTGTGTTGCTGGGGGTCTAAATGCTGGTTCTGCTCCATCCATACTGGAGGTTTTGAAATTTAGGGGCTTGACTGTGTAGGACTGATGGGTCCCTTTCATTATCTGGGTGCAGTTTTGCTGGAAGGTGTTAACAAGACAACCCTCAGGCCTCTGGTACCCTGTGACACCTTGAAGCCTGTTCCATCCTCCCAGTTCCCTTGTCTGAGATCTCCAGCTCCCTTTAGAGGACTCCTGAAGTTTGTTTTTTTCAGATGCACCCAGTAAAGCGCTAGAATAGCTCAGCAGACATCAGGAGGAATGAGGGTAGAGAGAGGGAAGGAGAGTTGTACATTCCCACTGAACTTCTCTGCATCATCAGAGCGAGTTTATGACAGTTTTAAATGGTCTGTTTAAATTTGTCTGATGAGTGAGGTGAGTTAGAGGCCAAAGCATTGGACTTAGCTAAGGCAGAGCAGTCCCTTCTAGCTCTCATCTGTTGGGATGGGGGGAGTGTTTGACAGGTCAGTTTGGTTCTCCATGACCCAGCTTCCTTATCTGAGAAGTTGTTGCAGTTCCCTTAATGTGTTTGTAAAACATTTTGAAGTGTGGGAGTGATGTGTGCTTAGGAAAGCCAGATTGTATCATTATTGGATGCTACAGATCGATTTTTGCCTTAAACATTTGCAAAACCAACGAGAGTTAGGTGGTTTTGGTTTCATGTAGTTTTAAAAGACTGGAAAATGTGTATGTGTAATATGGCAGTCTGTATTTACCTATGAGTTCCTGTATTTTATAACAGGGGAACTCTTATTAATCAGAAGCTGGATAGGAAATAGATTAACAAGAACTGAATTGGGAGTGATGGTAGAAAACCAGCTAAACAAGAGAGATATTTTTTCCTCAGTTCATTTAAAAAAAAACCAAAAAAGCAAACTAGAACTACTCCCAGAAACTCCCAAAAAAGAGGGAGGAACAGTTTCCCTGTAAATTTGCAAAGCCTTTTAAATGGTAATGTAAATAAAGTTTTTGGAATTTTTTGGTCATAGTACCTGTTGGCTTACCTCAGAATCACCACTTCCCTCTGGTATCACTAAAATTCCTCACCCTTTTTATCCCCCTCTCCTTTTCAGAGAAGGAGGAACAGAAACATCCTCCTGTGATTTATTTGTCCCTAAGTCTGGGCAGAGCTGCACTTCCCAACTCTTGTGAAGAGCTGGGCAAGGATGGATGGGACATAAATCAAAGCAGAAGTCCTGGAGCCTTAGTCACCAGTCTGATGGGCTTTCAGTAAGTATGAGTAAGACTCCTTTCTCACCTGCCTGCCACACAAATAAGTTCAGTGGTGCCTTATTTACACCTCTTTGCCAGCTCTGATAAGCAAATACCAGCATCAGCCTTCCTGAAGTGTCCCCAAGAACTGGCACTCTTGAGGTGCCAAGCAGATGTTGGAATCTGCCTCAGTGACATTTGCAGTTCAGTTTTGGGCAAAGTGATGCCTTGGTGGAGGTTCTAAAAAATAACCTTCTACTTTGGGCTGAATTATACCGTGTCCTTACTGCAATGTGCAGGGTTTTGCTCTGCAAGGTGCAGGACTGAGGCACTTTCTAGGCTTTTTTTCTTGTAAAGCAACATGAGAGGACTCAGTAGATAGCAGCATTTATTTGAATGCTTGTGGAGATGTATAAATGCCTGTTTTAGATCTGCACCAGCAAAACTTTTTGTATTTCTTGTGTCTGTGGCAATCAGTGGTTTTGCTCAATGTTAACGTTTAACTTTAAAATAAACTGCTGGATGTTTGAAACATTCGATGCAGGATTTTACCCTCTCTTTGTTTGCAAATCTTTCATATTATTGTGGCACAGCTCCCCTGCCACGCTACTCTCCCTGTTTTTGAGAAAACTACAACACACAGCCAAGAAAACAGAGAGTAAGAGTGAAAAAAAAACGTGCCCGGTGGGGGCTGCAAGTTGTGCTGTTGAATTTGTATTTCCTGATGCTTTGCTGGTCTGTGTGTCACAAACCTCAGAGTGACACAGGAGTAAGTGCTGAGAGAGGCAGGAGGACCTGAACACGGCACTGACACCGTGTGGGTCGCTGCCAGGATATTCTTTGGCTCTCATTCTGCCAGCGAGAGTGAGCACTGACTTGACCTTCTCAGTTTTTGCTGCCCTCGTGCTGATGAATAGTTGCCACTGTATAATCCTCTGGCTTGTATTGAGAGGCTGCTGAGATCTGATTTCATGCTGCACCTTAATTTGTACCCTCTCTTCAAATACTTCCGCTTGGTTTGGGGTGGGGCTTCTTTTAAAAATTTGTTTTATTTTCCCTCTCTGCAAATGTGGCCTTTTTCCAAAGGGAAAACTGACAAGAAAGCTGGACAAAGCCTCCAGTTGTGATTGTTTTCTTTTTTGTTTGTTTGTATAGGTTCACACTTTACTCCCTGACACTTGAATTGTTTCTGTACTGTTGACAAAGGAAAAAATGGCCTCTACTCTAGTAAGTAAACAAAATATTCACAATATTCCTCTCTGGTTTTTTTTTTCCTTTTAATATGGTTTTATTTCTTTATATGCAACAGCCCATTGAGTGATGTCCTGATTAACAAGTGTTTTGAAACATGGAATATTCGTTGGCCAAAAGGGGAAAAGATGTTGTTAGGCAGGTGTAAGAGGCTGGAATTAATCAACATTTCAAGTGCTCAGATACTTTCAGGGGAGAATTATGCTTTTGAGCACATTCTTTTGATTTATTTAAGCTTGTTTTGGTGGGATAGGTTAGAATGGCTTCCAAATAGTTCTTAAAGCTCTTCCAGGATAAATATTTGTGAAAAACGTGGTTCACATAATTTTTATAGAATTTAAAAGTTTAATAAAAGACAATTAGGAGAAAAAATAAAGTATACAGATACTGCTGGGTGTCTCTGCATTCAGCTAAGAGAGCACACCTTACTGACAAAGGATTGTCCCTTAAAAACAGAACCCTACTACATATCCATAAATTCTCATACATATTCATACATTCTTCTTAGGATCTTTGGTGTTCTTCTCTTTAGTTTTCTCTTGCCCCCTTCCCAATAGATCAATCTTTTTGGTGCTATTGAGATTTACATTCTCTGATACCAGAAATGCAATAAATTCCTCCCCCCAGAGTTCTGGTCACTGCTGTCTTCATCTGGATAAGATAGTTTACAAATGCAGGAGTTCTCTAGCTATTTTTTTTTTTTCAAAAGCAGTTTTTATTTTAATACGATGCCATAGCCTAACATATATGTATTATACTACTATTTCTAAACTTCATCAATAACAGAAATAAAGAAAACTATATTAATACAACAAAATTTCTCATTCTTATACACATAACATTCATTTTAATATTTGTGAAAACCAACAATATAAAATGTATCTACAACAAATTCCACCAGCTGTTGCAGGCCAGTGTGTGTCAGAAATAGCTTAGGTGTACCTGGTGTTGTCACAGCACGAAATATCCTGGACCTGGACAAAGGCTGTCACTTGTCAGCATTTCTTTCTGTGCTGGTGCTGTCCACAGCTGTCCTTGCTGTTTATTTCTACCCTGTCAGACATCCCAGGGTAAGCTTTTGTGCAAACATCTCTGGAGGGCTGGGCTCAAGGATCCTTCTTGGGCTGGGTTACTATGGATCAGGAAACGGATCTTGTCAGGGGTTTTCCAGCCTCACAGCTCCGTGTTACTTTTATTATTCAAAACGTGAGGCATTAGGCATGTTCTGTGAATCTCTGTGTGCAAAGTGGAGTCACCAATAAGTGCTCTGTGTGCAGGGGTTGTATTTTACCGAGTGGGGCTCTGCAGTTTGTCCTCGTTCCTCACCTTCTCCTGTCTCCTTCCTCCCCACGCCACCCCCCAGGGCCCACCGCCGCCGTACTACGAGAACAGGGGCTTCCAGCCAGAGCCCATCTACGCTGCTAGGCAGGCAGCAGGTGCTAGTCCTTACCCACAGCTCTTCTCTCCAAGCGCTCCCTCCGTGCCAAGCTACGTCCCAAGGGTTGCCACCCACCAGTCCAGCAGGCCGGTAGCACACCCACCCAGGAGAAGCTGTGCAGCCAGTAAGTTCTGGGGGATTTCTCCAGGAGAACCTGTGCAGCCAGTAAGTTCTGGGGGATTTCTCCAGGAGAACCTGTGCAG